CCTCGTCAATGTGAGACTTTCTCCTTTTTGTCTTCTCCACACAATCCCCATCATCATATTCTATTCTACCCATAGTGCTATATCCATGGCTCACGCTCATGTATTGCGTGAAGGTTGAAAAAGTTTGAGATTATTTAAGTATGAAACAATTGCTTGGCTTGTCATCGGGGGTATAAAAGTTGGGAAGATCTTTGTGTGACGAAAATGAAGCATAGCCTAACTATATAATTTTGTAGGGATGAACTTTCTTTTGCCATGCTATTTTGAGAAGACATGATTACTTTGATTAGTATGCTTGAAGTGTTACTATTTCTTTTATCAATATGAACTTTTATTTTGAATCATTTGGATCTGAACATTCATGCCATAATAAAGAAAATTACATTATGAATTATGCTAGGTAGCATTCCACATCAAAAATTCTCTCTTTATCATTTACCTACTCGAGGACGAGCAGGAATTAAGCTTGGGGATGCTTGATACGTCTCCAACGTATCTATGATTTTTTATTGTTCCATGCTATTATATTACCTCTTTTGGATGTTTATGGGCTTTATTTTACACATTTATATCATTTTTGGGACTAACCTACTAACCGGAGGCCCATATTGCTGTTTTTTTGCCTATTTCAGTATTTCGAAGAAAAGGAATATCAAACGGAGTCCAAACGGAATGAAACCTTCGGGAGCATGATTTTTGGAACGAACGTGATCCGGAGAGCTTGGAGTGCAAGTCAAGAAGCTTCTAAGGGCCCCACAAGATAGGGGGCCACGCCCCCCCCCCCCTGTAGGGCGCGCCCCCTGTCTCGTGGGCCCCTCGGGCGGCCACCGACGTACTTCTTCCTCTTATATATACCTACGTACCCCGAAAACACCCAGGAGCACCACAAAACACAATTTCCACCGTTGTAACCTTCTGTATCCGCGAGATCTCATCTTGAAGCCTTCGCCGGCACTCTGCCAGAGGGGGAATCGACCACGGAGGGCTTCTACATCAACATCCTTGCCCCTCCGATGAGTTGTGAGTAGTTTACCACAGACCTACGGGTCCATAGTTATTAGCTAGATGGCTTCTTCTCTCTTTTTGGATCTCAATACAATGTTCTCCCCCTCTCTTGTGGAGATCTATTCGATGTAAACTCTTTTTGCGGTGTGTTTGTCGAGATCCGATGAATTGTGGGTTTATGATCAAGTTTATCTATGAATAATATTTGAAGCTTCTCTGAATTCTTTTATGTATGATTGAGTTATCTTTGCAAGTCTCTTCGAATTATCAATTTGGTTTGGCCTACTAGATTGGTTTTTCTTGCCATGGGAGAAGTGCTTAGCTTTGGGTTCAATCTTGCGATGTCCTTGCCCAGTGACAGAATGGGTTGCAAGGCACGTATTGTATTGTTGCCATTGAGGATAACAAGATGGGGTTTATATCATATTACATGTGTTTATCCCTCTACATCATGTCATCTTGCTTAATGCGTTACTCTGTTCTTATGAACTTAATACTCTAGATGCAGGCAGGAGTCGGTCGATGTGTGGAGTAATAGTAGTAGATGCAGGCAGGAGTCGGTCTACTTGTTATGGACATGATGCCTATATACATGATCATGCCTAAATAATCTCATAACTATGAGCTTTTCTATCAATTGCTCGATAATAATTTGTTCATCCACCGTAATACTTATGCTATTTCGAGAGAAGCCTCTAGTGAAACCTATGGCCCCCGAGTCTATCTCTTATCATATTTGCTTTCAATCTACTTTTATTTGCATCTTTACTTTTTGCATCTATATTATAAAATACCAAAAATATATCTATCTTATCATACTATCTTTATTAGATCTCACTTTCGCAAGTGGCCGTGAAGGGATTGACAACCCCTTTATTGCGTTGGTTGTGAGTTCTCAGTCTGTTTGTGTAGGTGCGTGGGACTTTTGAGGAGCCTCCTACTGGATTGATATCTTGGTTCTCAAAACTGAGGGAAATACTTATGCTACACTTTGCTGCATCACCCTCTCCTCTTCGAGGAAAACCAACGCAAGCTCAAGACGTAGCACTTGCTCCTGTGCTTACCAACATTCCCGATTGTTCGACTAGGGGTAAAGGAAGCACCTTTGCGATTGTTAAGACCGGGTCAGCCGTGTACGTATCTCAGAAGGGTGAAGCCGAAGGCTAGCATTCTTAAGAACATAATTGGTCGGCAAAGAGGAAAACTATAGTAATCTTGGTATTTGTCACGAACGCTTGGGGATTCGGCCCCTACACCAATTATTGGCGTACCTCAAATATCCAAATACAAAATGTCTGCAATTGGTATGACGAACCTCAAGAAAGGAACCCATTGAGGAACTATTTACTTCAGAAGATGTTTCTTACGTTAAACAGTAATATAACGTAACTCTCCGCACACATTTTTGTCTATTCGCACCTTAAGGCCGGACTGCCTGGTTACCGAAAGTGATTTCCTGTTTACCTTGGGTCACATAGTACAAAACACTCCCCGATCATCGGTCGGGGAGGCAGAAGCCGATGGCCGGTTAAGACAACGTTTTACAGTTTGGATCGAGGCCGTTTTATGTAAAGTACATAGATACATAGAATCATATGTAAAGTACATAGATACATAGAATCAAACGCATAATTCTTTGTCTACATTGTCTATTATGCTATCTAATGCACAATCCTGCTGGGACAATCGAGCTGCGGGCACCACTTGGTCATACACCAAATGAAGGGGTATTTCTTGCCCATCCAGCCCTACTGGCCCGACTCGAGCCATATGCTCTGGCTCGAGTTTCCCGAACCAGGTTTTCACCATAGCCCATGCTTCTCGCGCCCCCTCCGAACAGGATGATATTTTCCATAATTCGAAGCGCCGCCGAGCTCCCTTATAACGATTCGCCAGTTCGGCCATATTGCCCGGCGCCACTTCGGTTGGCCATAATGCCTTCACCATGTTCTTCATAGCCTTTCGAGCTTTCTCATGAACCACGGACAGTTCCTTCAACACGTTCCCACCAAAGGATTGGACCTCCTCTCCGGGCCGGCCAGTCAGGAGACCTAGCATCAAAAGCATGGCATATCCTTCAGATTCAAGCATGGTACAAGTCTATACTTATCCAAAATCATACGAACAAAACTTACTGAACATGCCGCTTCTCAAACTTTGGTTTTCTCCGCGAACCTGCGCCAGTTGAGTTTTTATACCCTCTAGTTTTTCGGCCTGCTGCTGGTTCACCGCCTTCAGTTTGTTGGTCTCCTCCTGGCTTCGTTTTAGAACCCGAAGACCGGCCTGATGTTGCGATTCCGCATACCATTGAGTTTCTTTCGCGGCGTCTATGTCCTTTTGAACCTGAGCTATGGATTCAGCTGCTACAAAAGTAACAGGTGTTAAACATTGCGCGAGGGCATAATTCATGCAGGCTTCAAAAGCTTTCCCTCACCATGGGTCTCGCTAGTGAACTTCTTCACACCCTCCAATTCGGTTTCTACCTCAGTCAATCGTGTTCGGCTCAGCTCAAGGTCCTCGAACAATTTTTTGTTCTGGTCCTTTAAGGCATGCAGCAAACCGCAAATATTTCTCAGACCCTTAACTTGGTCGTCCCGTCCAAATCAAGGCTGGGGTGCTACCGGGTTAGCATTTATATATTTGGCTTTTAAAACTCATCCCTTACGTGCATTTCGGCTGATATAAGGTTGGCAATTCCCTCGAGACCTATTCGGGCCGCTCCGAGGTATGCGTCGACCGAATTAAAGGCATTAAATTCTTGGTCGGTAAAAAGGGTTGGCGCAGGGATTCCTTCAGTCGCCGGTGATTCATCACACTTTCAACTTCCAAATTGGTAACCGACACATCCTCAGGATCTTCCACAAGCTAGTGCATTGCGGAATACCCCGCATTAACTCTCGCCTGGTTTGAGGATCTTCGGCCACTCCCGGACACTTCCAACATGTTTTTGGACAGGTGGGGTGGTACCTTCTTCCTATTGGCCCGGATTGAATTTTAGTGGAGCCCTACGCAGATAAGGCGAGTAATGAACTAATGGCAATTTTAGGGCATATTACCTTTTTTCCTAAGACGCGATTGACACGGTCGCTTTTCGTTTAGAGGCTCCTTTGTTGGCTGGAATTGACGCCGCCTCCGTTGGTGTTCGGCGTGAGGTGCGGCGGCCCTTGAGGGTAGAAGTTAGCATAGCCGGAGTAGCGCGGGCCGAATGCCTTGTTGGAAAGGAGGCTTTCTTGCTACTTATGGTGGAGGAGGGGAGAAGCCCGAGGTGAACAGTTGTGATAGCCACCTTGGAGCCATCAATGCTTTCCTAAAAGAAAACCCCGTCCTCAATCGTGAAAGCCTGGGTCGTCATCACGAGAATAATCCTCCGGTTGAGGAGCAGGGCAACTCATGCCTTCCACTTGGCCTCTCCAGCTCTGTTCGGAAAAATGGTTGACCGATTAGTATCCAGGCGTGATATCCGAGCTATGTACACATGTTTGAACTTACCCATTTGATGGGGTTATAGCTCGCGTAGCCTTTCCAGTTTCTCGGACGGGCGAATTCTTCTTCTTCGCCTTTGAAAAGATCTGCCAATATGGCGGCCATTGCTGCTTGATTGTCTGACCCCTGTCACTTGTAGCGGGATGCGTCACTTGTCCCATTATAGGACCACAGGGGATGCGTCCTTTGTTGAAGGGGTTGAACGCATTGGTTGATCGCGATGGCCATTACGTCAACTATGGTCAATCCACCGTGGGCTAGGGCTAGCACCCTTACCTTTGCGGCTAGGCACTGCACCTCGGGGGACTCTTCTTGGGAGGGGCCTTTGGGCCACCAGTTAAGTCTCTTCTTCAGCGGGGCATCCGAATACCCGGGCAGACCTCTCTGAACCGGTTCGCACAGGGGGACGTCTTCAATATAAAACCACTCCGGAGACCACTCTTCAGAATCTTCCTTTGGAGTACCGACAGAATATCTAGTGCTGGCTACACGACACACTCGGCTCGCCTAATTCAAGAATTGACCCCTCGTGGTTGCGACAGACGAGGCAGAAATTTCCTCCATAGCTCGAAATGGGCCTCACAGTCTAGGAACATCTCACAGAAAGCGACGAAGCCAGAAATATGCAGAATTGATACCGGGGTGAAGTTGTGGAGCTGGAGCCCATAAAACTCTACCAGGCCCCTTAAGAAAGGGTGAATGGGGAATCCTAGGCCTCTTAGAAGGAAGGATACGAAACATACCCTCTCATCCTTATTTGGATTGAGAAAGTTCTCTGCGAAGGCCTCCCATCGGCCGAGGTGAGCCCCACGCGAACGGGCATGAGATCTGCGGCCGGAAGATACCCTTGCTGCTGGAGATCGCATAGCTGGAGCCGTGAGATGGAGCAACTGGGCCAATCGCCCGGTAGTTGGCCGTGAGGGTGCGTGGATGAGCCAGGGGCGTCGGCCATGTCCCTCAAAGGTTTCTTCTGGATGAGATTGGGTTTCTTGTTTTGAGATGATGGACAGCTCGATGCGCCTCTGGCCTATTTGACGGGTATGCTTCTGGCCCTCGATGGGTGTTTTTGTAAAAAACACGGGACTGCTCGCCTTCTGGCAGACGCATAGAAATCGAGGGTCACTAAGGGCGAAGTTAATGGTGAGGGCCCGCCTCGATATTGGCTTAAAAGTTATTGGTGACCGAACTATTGAAGTCGCCCAAACAAGAAGATGGGGAACTCGCCTCGCAAGCCGAAGACTTTGAGGAACCATGGGGCGATTAGCGGTGGTGAGCTCCGATGTTGAAGGCTAGTTCGGGGGCTACCAAGAGAGTCCTGGACTAGGGGGTCCTCAGGTGGCTGGCTTATATCTCATGAGCCGGACTATTGGGCCGCATTATGTCCGGTCCAAAGACCTTTCTGCCGTGGTGTGCGCAACAAGACAAGGTAGAAGATCCGTTGTTCCCCTCTATAACCGACTATATGTAAACCCTAGTACCCCTAGTGTCTATATAAACCAGGGGGTTTAGTCCGTAGAGACCTGAAGAACAATAACCGTCGTACTAGTTAGGGTTCAGTTCATCTGATCTCGTGGTAGATCTACTCTATAACCCCCTTATACACAAGCAATATAATCAAGTAGGATGTAGGGTTTTACCTCTTAGAGAGGGCCGAACCTAGGTAAATATCGTGTCCCATGTCTACTGTTCCCCATCGATCCAAGGTCCACAGTTCGGGACTCCCTACCCGAGATCTGCAGATTTTGACACCGACACCCACAACTTCGAGTCATGTACGGGAGAAGGGTGATAAGGTTTTTGGGGAGCGCTCCATGTGACTACTCACTTCTTCATCACGGAAGCCACGGACGCCGACGACCACTTCCCAAATGATGACTTCTTCCACGACGTCGACAACCTCTTCGACGAATGGCCGGCGAAGACGTCAATCCAACCCCAATGCTATTGTCATAGCTCAGTACGTTTTTGTGTTCTTTCTGTTTGAGATCCTATCACAGTTTCTTGTTCTAGCTTCTGTTCTAGATTTGTTCTGTTCATATTCACCTCTTCAGATGTTATTTGCATACTCTCTGTCCGATTGTGTGACTTACTTTATCTCTGCTACGATATTCATGTTTTGTCTACTATTTCTGCTAATAAAATCATATGGTAAATTGCTCATATTTCCAACACGACCGACCTAAATGGGTGAATACAGAAGTAGCATTTACATATGGTCGGCTCGATCGTTAGCATTTACATATGGTCGGCTCGATCGTACAATGATGACCAACAACAAAGCATGCAGATAGGATTTAACTTACGTGCGACGATGAATGCCATACTAGAGGCTGGGGCGCGCCCTTAGCGCGCCTCCTGAGCAAACCTGTGCGCGCACAAATCCTGCCGTTAGAGTTTTGAACGTTCATATGCAACCCAGATGAGCGCCAGATGTCAAAAAAGAAAGAATATACTCAATAGAACTGCATCAATAGAATCTTGTTGGATTTACAAAGGATTAAGCTCATTGACAACCATGCACTTAAATTAAAAATCTCTATAGAACATCATTCACAACTTTTCACCAGGGTGAGAGGAGCATTTGAGGCTTTTCTGATCAATGATTATAACTTTCCTACATAACATGCTACGAAAGCCTTAACTTATCTGTGAGAGCTTCAAAAAATGAGAGACTCATGGAAGGCTTAGTTTGGTCTTGCGGTCTGCATCTTTGCCACAAAACTTCTTTTGCTTTATTTACAATAGGAACTGCAAAAGAAAAATATCAAGCACATCATCACCGCTGAAGTGATAACAAAAGAGTAGTCTGAAAACCATTCCAGTGCTGCTCAAGAAGCATACTTTAAGTATTAAACATGCCAAAATTGCTGGAGGTACAGTCATACTAAATACACAAAAATCAATGCTCAGGAAGCACAACAAAACATACAAAAATCTTTGGAGGTACAGCATGAGTTAATTCACAAAAACCAACGCTCAAGAAGCATAACTGAACATACCAAAATCTCTAGAGGTAAGACCTAAATGAATCCACAGAACACCACCAAAGTTCAAGCACGCGCCTAGGACTGCTAAGCAAAAATATTTGCAAATGTGAATTTTCATGGAACATGCCAAAAGATAATACCTAGAAGTATTTGGCTGCTCATCATCTTCTTCCATAGGTGTTGAAGTACGATAGCCATATGGGAATGGTGAAAAATATGGTACATTTCTTGCATCCCCACCAATATATTCATCACCTGGTGATCAATAAGTGATACCCGCTTCTTTGTCAGAACGTTATCTTCAGTACCAAGAACATTTCCAGCATTTGAAGGAACAATCTCTTGAAATCTGCAAAAGACGGGAAAATTTGTTAAAGGACATAGCTTAAGAGCACAGTTCTCAAATTCAATTTCAACATTATGAAGATCTTAGTCCATAGTGAAAATTAGACATGCAAAAAACAATTACTTCATCTGCAGCAAGACACAATGCGTAACCTTTGATAACAAAACTACAGGTTTTATCATTATATATCTGATTCATCTCATGAATACCTGCATTTAGTCATACAGAGGACAAATTAATCAACACATGCGGACAAATTAATCAACACATGGGGTATGCTGGTAACGGAGAGTAATAAACATGGTGACTACGCATGTGTCGATCAACCATCCCGAGTCTCCTGACATGCATGTTAAAGATTATTGTTACCATCTTGTATCCATAAGATGGAATAAAGCTTATTCAGTTTGAATTCTGAGTTCATTCGCAAAAAAAAAGTTTGAATTCTGATTTCTATTTTTTTATCATGCAAACTACCACTACATACACCAAAGAGCTTTTTTGCATACAAGATGCATGCAAGAACACAAGCATACATTCTATGTGTAAGTAGGTTGCACGCCATTTCCATGTGTCACTCTTTGTGCTTCACCAGTCCCTGCCATTCAAAAGCGGCAATTCAATAAGGCTTTGCAATCACTAATTTGAAATCTACAAGGTGACAAAATTGTTCACGTATTTGCACAACAACCAGAGAGTACAATAAAAGTAGAAGTTCTTTCCCTGGAATCAAAAAGTTTGATCTCTTGTAGGTCCTTAATGGAGATGAATTTTCTTGAAGGGCATCCCACTGGTCACTTGGCATTCTTAGCCACTATGTATGCATCGTACTGCCCCTCATATCCCGGACTTGACTCATGTCGTATGAAGGTGACTCTGAACACAGACCATAAGAAACAAGGCTTGCAAACAAAAAGCATGAAAAGCAAAGTTTGAATCTGGAGTTCAAATCCATAAGCCTTCTAGCCATAAAGTGTCAACTGCTACTGCTATCCGACCACTACTATTCAAACCATGGACACTATACCATACAAAAAGTTGCTCCCAGCCAAACCTACCGTTACTCCAATATCAAGTTTCTTCACTCACAAAAAGTCAACCCTGCTGCACAACAATCTGACTAAAAGCCCACGTCAACAGAAGAACATCAAATTGCAGACTTCAGCATGCTGCCGTGGCAATTCTGGGATTGTTGCTGCTGCTACTGACGAAGGGACACCACTCCCAGATGAAGTATCAGCAAACTCCTCAAGTTTTATGAACGAACACGAATATGACATTTCTGCATCTTCTCTCAACTCTGAAGTAAAATAGAACGAAGATGCATCAATAGTGGAATTCACCGCTCATAGGAGGCATTAGTTCTCTTCTATATCACTAGTTCATACCATTGGAAGTAGCTTAGCTCTCACCCTCTGTTATACGACAACCTATCCATGTTCATAAGAAGACAAGGCTCCTCTCTGTCTACTCTGCACGTATGTGTACGCATTATCTGACTACACGGTGTTCATGGATGACGGATCATTAATTAGCACTAAAGAGAAGACACTTCGAAATACAACTCGACATAATTATTGTACCACTCGCACCTAGACTTCCCATCTTCCAAGATTGTGATGGAACAAGCTTCTTCTTCGTGAGCATAAGAGTCTTGCGTCTCGGAAAACAACAATAGAGAAGGCACTGCTATCAGTTAACAACTTTTAAACAAGAGTGAAATATGACAGTTAAAGAATGAAGAGCTGCCAACTTACACATTTTAAGCAAATCACTTAACGAGGTACTTTGATAGCACACAAATCTTTCAATTTCTCAATTCTTAAAACCAATATTGCATTTTCAGGAGCAAAATTTGGTTCTTCCAATATGCAGAAGAGAAATAGGAGACCACGGCATAGATTTGGATAAATAGATCACATGATACTGATGAGGTAGGTAAAATTCATGAGGAACCAATGCCCAACACCAAGTTCAGGTTAAACAAACACCCTTAAATGTGATCTAAACACTCTTATATCTGAGTTAGAATTTTGGAGGTGCAACAGAAACCTGAATTGAGAGGAAAACAATTCTTGCCTTATCAATTTTGTCTTGCTCCTCCTCCCTCACGTACTCAAATCCAAGATCCTCCACTCCAACTACAAGTAATCACCATTCAGATATGAGAAGTGCAGACCAACGTATATGGGAGAGAAAGAGTAGATCATGGGAGAAAGAAAGAGATGTACCTACATGCTGTCACCGACCAGAGACAGAGACGAGGACGGACTGGGACGGCTTGGCGGACTCAATGGCGTAGGCGGCCCGGATGGCCTGCTGCGGGCAGCCACGTGCGTCGGGGCATGACTCCAGGCCGACGACCTCGGTGACGCGCGAGAGCGGGCAGGAGGTGTCAAGGATGAGCACCAGGGGCGCCGGAGCCGCGCCGGCGTCCATGACGGCGCCGTGCGCTTGCCACAGTGGCGGCTAGGGTTAACCACGGGCGCACAAGGAGGAGGCGAGCGTCGAATCGAGTTGGTGGGGAAGATAGGCCGGATCGAGAAGAACACGAGGGAGTGCTGGGCGGGGCCGGAGACCACCGGCAACGACCGGAATCGGCCGGCGGCCGAGAGAGGATCGAGAGAGAGAGAGCGCGCTCGAGAGAGACGGGAGCGTGCCTGCGAGGCGATTTATTTTCCCTCTTTCCTTGCATAGTAAAAGCGCACAGTAAAATCACAGAAAAGTGGACAGGTGGAGTACGCGAGCTAGCGCCATTTACCCGACTGTTAATGTGTTTCATTTAGGTAATACACGTGAGCAGAAAACCCAACATGATTTTTCCTTGGTTTTCTTTGTACACTTGCATGGAAGATTTTTTTGGCACTACTATCACAAATGCTCATAAATATGTACATATGCTCACCCCTATAAACGCACA